ATTACTAAAACAATAGAAATAAATACCTCACACAAAAAATGACAAGAACATAATGGTTTTTAGTAAGATGGGATGAAAACTTGCAATCCTCTAACAATTGATCATACAATTTCTCCAAAGCATCGTCTTTGACATCAGCAATCCGTGTAACATGCCTTGAAAAGAAAAAAAATTGTATACCTTATCTCAGTCAAACTCACACTATAATGAGCAGTCACATCATCTAAATTGTTATAATTTATTAGTTATTTCATAGAGTACTGTGAAAGAGAGAAAATCAAAACTCTTAAAAAATGTATTTGTTAATTAAATTCTTTTAGCATAAGCGTTTTTATGATAAAAATTTATGTATACGTTATACCTATGAACTTCCATTTCATCCACTCTCAAATTAACTTTCGTGCAATATTAGAAACTTAAACATATTCATAATGCACATGACTGCACTATCATAACAATCAACAAAGTTTTTTTATATTCTTATAATACAACATCTTTGAAGCAAAAATACAAACAGGTATAATGCAACAAACAAGTTAGAATTATGGAATTACATAGAACCCGATAGAAAAAATTTTAGCCTCTAAATTGCTTAACAGTTTGGTTAGAGTCAACAATAATGTATAAAATCACCCTAAAACTACAATCAAATTCAGTAAAAAAATAAGAAGGATTTATAGTTACAAAACTGTAAAAGCAAAATACACTCAAAAGGGTATCATGATGTTCAACTTACCATGTTCAAGATGAGAAAAATTATGTCATGTGATTGCTTTACGGATGAATTGGTTGAAGATTAGCAAATTGGTCGAATAGAGAATCGTGGTGTTAATGCGTGTTTACAACGGAGATTGAGCGGTCCATCATGATAAGCTCTTTCCAACTGCATAAACAAAGACCTTTTTGTGAGACACCAACAAAGAAACCTATAAAGAAAATCATAAAACTCTTACAAATCAAGATAGATATTAGATTCACATTTAAATTGCAAACTTCTACTTATATGCAGAAATAATAAAATACGAAAAACTTATACTCGTGTGCTGAAACGATAAAAAGGGAAAATAAAAATTGTAAATGATTTGTGGTTTTAGATCTATTTGTAGCTTTCACAACAATATCCTTGCATTTTAGTGGAGGGGCCTTGATGTGTATGGCTGACGATAATTAATAGTGATATGTTGGTGACAGAGGTATATGTCTTATTTTCGACAGTGGTGGCTCCAATGGTGGTGGTTCGCGATAAAGGTGTCGATGAAATAGTGATTTCGAAAAAGAAAGAGGTCGTTGTTGTGATTTTAATTGAGAGTGAGAGTGTGAGCGTGAATCTAAGAGTGAAGGATTAAGATGGAAATAAAAAAGGAATCAGTGACTATGTTGAAGAAGAGAAGTAGGGTGAAGAGAGTGAGGCTCTTGTTTGCAGAGCGTAATGGTTGTAGGGTTTAGGGTATGGGTTCTTCCAAATCTTTCGTATGGGTTCAAAGCAAGCACATAAAAAAGTTGTAACACAATAATGGAGTTTGGTTTCCCGATATGTTCAAATGACTCTTCATATTTTAAAGTGACTTTTGAGATAATTTAGAGAGTGAATATGTTCAATATTTGTGAAATGAAAAGTTGTTCCAATAAATATATATTTTAGAGCGTTAAATACTGAATTATACATTAAAATAAAATAAAAGTCAGTATAAAAAAATATAAGAGTGACGCATCAACAACATTAATTGTCAAATGCATAATATTGAAATAAGGGTGCAATTAGACATTTGTAATCTTAGAATCAGAAAAATTTAAACATAAATTCAAAAGGGTATTTGTGGAGTTTCCAGATACTTTAACTTTTATATATTTATATTAGATATAAGTCAATAAGAGTCATGATGGTTATATATATATATATATATATATATATATATATATATATATATATATATATATATATATATATATATATATATATAATTTAATCGACATATTTCTTTTCATGGACTATTATATTGACATTTTTTCTCAATATGATCCTAATTTGAGAAATGTTTAATGGGTTCAACAATAATGTCATTATTAATAACAAATTTGTTCTCATCATCATTAATTGTATGGATACATAAGTAGAAAATAAAACAAATAACATTACATAAATGAACTTAGAGCGTCATATACATCAATAAAACATCATAATTCATTAGCATTCATAATATTCATATTTTCGATATGGTCACCAAATACTTTAGGTGGCAACTCTTTCATCAAAGGGTCAACAATCTTAAGATTTATGCTAATATGATAAATTAACACTCTTTATTTTTTAATCTGTTATTTAACGAAAAAAAGTACTTAAATTACATATGATTAGCACTATTAGAATACTTATAGTTTTTTAGAGAAAAATACTGCTGCAAAATTATCACAATAAATTTTCAACGGCTTAGAAATATTGTCGACAACTCCAAGTCCTGAAATAAAGTCTTGTAGCCAATTAGCCTGAAATTTTGTCTCAAAGCATGTCACAAATCCAACCTCCATAGTGGATGCAATAATTACAGTATCCCCCACACTTTCCATGATCTTGACCCTCCATCCAAAAGATACGCATAACCAAATGTTGGCTTTCTTGTAACTATACAGCCGATAAAATTTGAATATGAACATCCAACCACTTAAAGATAGTCAGATTTCACATAAGTAAGCATGTGATCATTAGTCCCTTGCAAACATCTAAATACTTTCTTTATGTTTCTATTCCAATTCATTCTTTGGACATTGTATAAAACTTAATGTATATCCTTTATATATTAGAGCGAGAAATATTTAACATTATCCATTCTAAATCTCTCTAAATTTTTATTGATATTATGTCTACTAAGACAAACCTAAAAATCTGTGATATCTATCACAAATACTTTTATTTCAATCACATAACTTGCCTTACCCATATTTTTCGTTTCAAATTTGTTAGAGAGAAATTTATTAGTCTCAAGTAATAAATCAAAATTATTAGTTGCGAGAAAAATATCATCAACATATAAAACTAGAATGATAACCTTACTCTAACTGGCCTTTAGATATATAATCGATCAACCATGTTTTTCTTAAATCTAAAGGTCGTAATAGTATCATTTAACTTGAGATACCATTTGCGAAAAGCTTTCTTAACACCATATATTAAATTCTTATGTTTACACACCATGTGTTTATTTTTCCTCTAAATTCTCATTCAGAAAAATAGTATTTATGCACATTTTATGCTACTCGAGATCATAATGAGTCAGAAGTGCCATAATAATTATGAGTGAATCTTTCTTGAAAACCGGTAAAAAGTTTTCCTCATAGTTAATTGTCATCTTTTTGAGTAAAACATTTGGCAACAAGTCGGACCTTGTAACATTTGATATTACCATAAGAGTCAAGTTTAGTCTTAAATACCTACTTACACCCAACTTTATTCCATCTTTCAGGTGATTCTACAAGATCTCTTATACAATTTTGCTTAAGCAATTTAAGCTCTAATTTCATATTATCTTAGCATTTATTAGATGTTATGAAACACGATACCTTTGAAACAGAATATAACACGGGTTTTCAAGACAAAAAACCCTCAAGGATAGAAAAGAATGAAAAACACGAAGAACAACAAGGATTGATTATAACTGCTATTCTTTACTTTCTCTTTAAATCAGATTACAAGTACTCAAGAATAACAAATAACCTCTATCACCCTAAATTAGGATTTGCAGTATGCAATGATGAGAGACTAGTATGCTATTTATAATAAACCTAACATACTGAACTAATGGGCTTTTTCACAAATACCCATTACAAGCTAACGTATGGTACAAGCTAACTTAAATAATTTGACATAACAAACATGCCCAATTTGAATTACTAACAACTCTAACATTTCGACACCCACATACTAGAGCACACTTCGACTACAGTATGTGGGTCTTCACACCGCATGTGAACATACTTCAATGACATGCATAAATCCTGTCGAACAAGAAGCTACTCTTTGACCCAATAGAATTCGATCCAATATCTTACAAATCTCTCTACCTTGGAACAAACTCTATTAGCAGAGAACAAACTAGCTTTCTTCATGCAGCTTTATCAACTACATACAGTGGAAAAACTTGCAATTGGGCAATATCTTTGTGATCATATCAGCAACATTATGATCTGTCAAAATTTTCAGCACTTGGAATTCTCCATGCTTGATTATCCCTCTGACAAAATGCAGCCTCACATCAATGTGCTTGATTTGTTCATGATAGGCTGAATTCTTCGACATGTGTATTGCACTTTGACTATCACATTTAACAGTGATAACTTGACCTTGAAGTTTCATGTCCTTAGCAAAACCTTCAAGCCACACTGTTTCTTTCATAGTTTCAGTGAGGGCGATATATTCTGCAGTGGTTGATAAAGCAACAACCTTCTGAAGTGTTGCTTTCCAACTTATTGTTGTGCAAAACATAGTGAAAACATATCTAGAAATAGATTTTCTGGAATCCATACAACCTGCATAATCAGAGTCGACATAACCTTCGATTACTGTTTTACTATCTTCACGTAAGGTTCCACTATAAATTAAAACTTTATTCAGAGACCCATTTATGTACCTTAGAATCCATTTCAATGCTTGTCAGTGAGTCTTTCTAGGATTCGCCATGTACCTGCTTACAAGACTTACTGCACATGCTATGTCGGGTCTAGTACAAACCATAACATACATCAAAGAACCCACTATGTTAGCATATGAGATGTTATTCATATAAGCTCTTTCAACCTCAGTACCGAGACACTGATCTATACTCAGCTTGAATTGGGGATTTGTTGGAGTCACAACAGGTTTTGAATTCGACATACCAAACTTGTCGAGAATCTTCCCTAAGTATGCCTCTTGAGATAAGCATAATTTCAATCGCAGTATACGTAAATCAAATCTTCCGAGAATGCGAAAAAAATCTTCTGAGAATGCGAAACAACAACTCGACACGATGTCGTACAAGTATGTCAAGACATCTTGTCCAACATCTTGCTATATTTCACTTTTTTATCAAAATACTATCAATCACAATACAATCAACCTAACATTATGTGTTTGAATACAAACTTAAAAATGCAACAACTTTAACTTTTTTTAGGAGAGTTTTGTTTTCCATTATAGATTTATAATTTACCAAACTCAAATGATTTTTAAGTTGCATGTAAAAAATACTTGGTTTATTAATATTGAAAAAAATTTGTTGGTTAAAATTTATGTTTTGTTAAATAAGATATTCCTCAAATATGTTTTTTTAGTGACACTCATCATTTAGAAATACTAATAGAAAACACACCTAGAAATATTTTTAGTAATTTTAATATTCAAGAACTATAATGCCAACACCATCCACATCTAGGGAGCAACCAAACTAATTGTTTATCATGATATTCCAATTCTAGGCCATTATGGACTGAGAAAAAGCATATACAGAGAAAAGAAGAGTGCCTTAAGTTAGACTCAAAGTACACATATGTTTGAGATATTGCAAGTTACAATGTAATGATCATAGTATATGAACAGACACAGTCTCAAAATCTCAATGAGTACTAAAAATAAAAAAGTTGGTGGCACCCATGCCTTAATGTCTCTCAAACTGGTGGTTCCTTAACAACAACGCGTCTTTCATAGCTGACACATTTAATTTCCTTAGAAACCTCATAAAACATTAGCAATAATGTGAACACTATAACTAGCTGTAACATTTGACATTGAAAACCATAATATGAAGGAAATGTGAACATTTTAATGACAAAATAAAAAATAAATAAAAAATTCAATCCACAACTCTTCTAAGCTCTTTGGCCCTACATCTATTAGTTTGAAACAAACTTCCACGTGATTCAACTAACTTGTAATAGATGTGCAACACTGTCATATGAAAGTTCCTTTATCTGTTACCATTCTATACTGTTACAATGAATGTCATAAATGAAACTTAAAAAGGGTTCTGAAAATGTAGTCTTGAAGTAGAAGAAAAGTAAAGCGAAGGTAACAACTATTTTTCTTTAAAAGCAATGAGCATATATATAAAAAGTAGTCACTTTTAGAGCTTATATAATAAGATTTTATGTTATGAGTTTATTAGCATTATTCCTTATCCTAGTAAAAACATAGGTACTAACCACTACTTCAAAAAAATATTTGTCTTTCTATCTCATTGTTTTACATAGGTTGTTTGTATAGTTATGCAACTAGTATGTTATACATGTAACAAGAAAAATTAACTTCTTAGAGTACTTAGTTAATATTCTAAGATTAACTATTAACTCGTATCGACTGAAAAATTTTCCTTTTAGAATATTTGAGTGTTATGAGCGGTTTAGTGACTAACTTTTCAAATTGTTCGCTAAATTGGTCTCTAATTCGGTTGCTAAGTAAGTTTGTGATGGATTTATAAACCTAATTGAAAAATGCTTGTTGTACTTTTTCCTATTTTATTTTTCTTGCATTAGAAGTTTCTTAATCATATGTATATAGATCCTAATACTGGCCATGAATTGTTCTCTTCATTTTTTTTTGTAGGCATCATGAAGTTTAGGAGAGTATTTTTATTCCTGGCTCTTATGGCGACGAATTCAATCGCGCTCGGGGCGCAACAAACCTATATAGTCCACATGGACAAGACCAAAATTGAAGGCTCAATTCATTCTCAAGATAGCACAAAAGCATGGTCTGAATCAATCATTGATTTCATTACTCAAGCTTCAATGGAGGGAGAAGAGCTAGAAGATGTTCTACCACCTCAGCTTCTATATGCTTATGAAACCAACATGTTTGGTTTTGCAGCCACACTTTCTGAGAAACAACTTAAACACTTAAGCCAAATTGATGGTTTCCTTTCAGCCATGCCAGATGAACTATCAACACTCGATACGACACATACTCCAAATTTTCTTGGCCTAACAAATGGAAAAGGACTTTGGAGTGCTCCGAGTTTGGCCTCCGATGTGATCATCGGTGTCCTTGATTCGGGAATATGGCCCGAACACATCAGTTTCAACGACTCGGGCTTTTCCCCGATCCCTCGTAAATGGAAAGGTGTCTGTCAACAAGGCACAAAATTCACATCCTCAAATTGTAACAAGAAGCTTATTGGGGCAAGATACTATTTCAAAGGGTACGAAAAATTCATCGGAAAAATCAACGAAACAACCGATTATCTTTCTGCTAGAGACACTCAAGGGCATGGAACACACACTGCGTCAACCGCAGCCGGTAACTCTCTTCAAAATGCAAACATTTTTGGATTTGCTAAAGGTTCAGCCACTGGAATGAGGCGTACATCAAGAATCGCGGCTTATAAAGTTTGCTGGCTTTCTGGCTGCGCGAATTCCGACCTATTAGCAGCCATGGACCAAGCAGTTTCGGACGGTGTTGATGTACTTTCACTATCTTTAGGAAGTATTCCAAAACCATTTTATAATGACAGTATTGCTATAGCTTCATTCGGAGCAATGAAAAACGGCGTTTTTGTTTCTTGCTCAGCAGGCAACTCAGGCCCTTTTGCATCAACAGTGGGAAACGGCGCACCGTGGATCATGACAGTTGCTGCTAGCTACATTGACAGAACTTTTCCAACACAGGTGAAACTTGGTAACTCAAAAACATTTGAAGGCACATCATTGTATCAAACAAAAAACCAAACCAACCAACAATTTCCTCTTGTGCATGGAATAACAGCAGGTAAAAAGAGAGAGGCAATGTTTTGCACAAAAGGTTCACTTGATAAAACACTTGTTTTCGGAAAAATCGTTGTCTGTGAAAGAGGAATTAATGGTAGAACCGAAAAAGGCGAGGTAGTAAAAAAATCAGGCGGATACGGAATGATACTACTCAACTCCGAAAATCAAGGCGAAGAGCTTCTCGCCGACGCTCACGTCTTACCAGGTACTTCATTAGGTGCTTCAGCAGGTAAAGCCATAAGAATCTACCTCAACACTACTAAAAAACCAACAGCTTCAATTTCATTCCTAGGAACAAGATATGGCAACATTGCACCAATCATGGCAGCATTTTCTTCTAGAGGACCGAGTATCGTAGGACTGGATGTCATCAAACCAGACATAACTGCACCTGGTGTTAACATCTTAGCTTCATGGCCAACAAAAACAAGTCCAAGCATGATCAAATCAGACAAAAGAAGAGTCTTATTCAACATAATTTCAGGTACTTCAATGTCTTGTCCTCACGTTAGCGGCATCGCAGCATTGATTAAATCAGTTCATAAAGACTGGTCACCTGCAATGATCAAGTCATCTCTTATGACAACAGCTTACACATTGAACAACAAAAATCTCCCCATTTCCGATCTTGCTTCAAATAACAACTCATCTTCTGCTAACCCTTTTGCATTTGGTTCAGGACATGTTAATCCCGAAAGTGCCTCTGATCCTGGATTAGTCTATGATATGAACACCAATGACTATTTGAATTACTTTTGCAGCCTTAACTTTACATCTTCAGAGATTGCTATATTGACAAAAACTAACTTCACATGCTCTCAAAAACATGTTGTTCAAGTCGGTGACATGAATTATCCTTCATTTTCTGTTTTGTTTAGCAGAACAGTGCAGAATGTGACATATAAAAGAGTTGTTACAAATGTTGGAAAATCAGAAAGTGGTTATTATGAAGCTAAAGTTGAAGACCCTAATGGAGTTGTTGTTAATGTTGAACCAAGGAAATTGAAGTTTGAAAAATTGGGACAGAAATTAAGCTATAAAGTTACATTTTTAGCAGTTGGAAAAACAAGAGTTGTTGGTAGTTCATCATTTGGATCACTCATTTGGGTTTCTGGTAAATATAAAGTTAGAAGTCCTATTGCAGTAACATGGCAATAGTGATAGAATGAACTTTGTTTCATTTTTACATTACATTATTGTTGAAAATTATGTGCAAGAAGTAAGTAGTATCATAAGGGTAATTTATTGTTTTCATTGTTGTTTGGATTGATTCATTTATATTATACAATTTCTATTTATCATTTTATGAATTTTGTTTTTATTCATGAGGGAAATTTATTCTAGAATCTTACAAAATTAATTAATTTCTACCATAAAGTTACCTTATCATATTATTGAAGAAACTAAGTAGGGCTAAAAATGCTTCACACTTGAAAAATGAGTTTTACTATATGGTGGTAGGATTTTAGCATGAATAAAAAGAAGAGACATGATATTGACAACCAATTCCTACACTACATGTCACTATTCATAAATATGTTAAAAGAGTGACATACTTAATTTTTTTCTCTCTCACCAAAATAACTTTGGTTAATAATATGGAAATATTTGGTTAAGAGACTTTATAATTTGGTTAATAAATATTCTGATATTAAAAAGTAGTCTTAAGTGAGAAATTAAAATTGGTTAATTTAATGTTATAAATTGATTAATATAGTTTATAGTTTAGTTATTAGTGTCTTGACTTTAAAAATTAAGTCTTGTGTCGTAAATCAATTTTAGTTAATGTTATATATAAAGTAGTTAATAGAGTTTATAAATTGGTTAATGAGTTCTCAAACATAAAAAAAAATAAAGGTAAAATATCATTTTTCGTCTCTTAACTCTACCTTAGGATTCAGTTTGGTTCATTAACTTTAAAAAGTGGTATGTTGGTCCTTTAACTTTCAAAATGAAATGACGTTTGTTGTAACACCCTAATTCTCCTGAGTAATTTATAAATAAAATCAGAGTAATTAAAAACAATTAAGCAATTAGGATGCTACTTTCATCAACAACCTGCTCATACAATAGGATATGTGACACACATATTTATAAATTAAAACATTATTCAAAAGATATTCAAATCTGAACTCCAATATTTTATTAGCAACGGAAAAACATCAAGAACAAATAGTTTTATTCCTCCTTGAGTTATAACAACAATACTCATAAAGAATTATCAAATATAAAAATTATCCAACAACTGAGGTATACATATAATTTCCTTCCAACATAAACAAAACGAGCATCGATCTCCAGTATTACATATCAAAGCAGACGCCGACTCGACAAATGCATAAAGAAGAGCAACCTCTTCCACTAACTTCCACGCCTCTACTCTTGAGTATCTGCATGTTATCTATGTGGAGACAACATTCAAACATAAGAGGTGAGATTCACAATTATATAAAGAAATGCATAATAATAAGTAAGCATATAATTATCTCACATAATCATAAAGGTAGAAAAAAACACAAGAAATGGGAGTTTGAAATGTGTTTATCAAAACTTTTCCCTTTAGAAAGTATTCATTCTAATGATGTGAGATATCTAAAACAATGAAGAGATAAATGACATGTTTAGTTTATACAAGTTTACCTTAGAAAAGGCTAATCTTGTCCACCCGTCAAGGTGATTTTGTCTTAGAAAAGGACTTAATCCAATAATCTAGAAAGATTACAACAACCTCTAAGTGGTAGAAACACATTTAGCCTTCTCAAATATTCTGACTATTTACTCTATCCACTTGATTAAAATTTAAACAACCTCTAAGTGGTAGAAACACACTTAGCCCTCTCAAGTATTCTGACTATTCACTCTAACCACTTGAGGAAACTTTAAACAACCTCTAAGTGGTAGAAATACACTTATCCCTCTCAAGTATTCTGACTATTCACTCTAGCCACTTGAGAAAACTTTAAACAATCTCTAAGTGGTAGAAACACACTTAGCCCTCTTAAGTATTCTGACTATTCACTCTAGCCACTTGAGGAAACAATTACAACTAAATAGCTTTTACAAGAGTGCTTCTATAAAAGCAGATTTAACATCGCAATGAAGTTTAAGTGGTTACACAAGAATATGAACAACAACTCTTTTGTGTTTACAATAATGATTGAGAATAAATGTTAACACAAGTATAAGGCAACAACTCTTTTTGTTTTGAAGAATATTTCTCACTTTGATTTCCTTTGTATAGTAGCTTCTCTTGTTGTTTTGCAGTATGAAGTTCTTTTGTTTGTCACTCTTCTTTCATGACTTCTCTTTCTTTATCTCTTTTCTTTTCTCACATCTTCGTGTATATCTTTTGTTGATACAATAATCTTCTTAAATAGTCGTCAGAGAAAAGAGATGTTGGAGGGCAAGATAGTCTTTATAGTTACAACAATATATCCCCAACGGATAGTATCATATTGGTGGACATAGTAGTACAAAGGTATTGTCTTTTTTGTCGTTAAACCAAGATAGAGGTGATACTGTGGATTTGACCGTTAACACTTCTTATGATTAACGAAATTGAATTTTTCCAATTTCAGAGGCTTCTGATAGCAATTGATGAAGCATGTATTGGAAGGATTAAGCTTTCAATAGAACCTTCAGATCTTAAGTGTTGTAGCTATGTTTATCAGAACCTTGGTGATCTTCAGAAGTCTCGTCACAAAAATATTTACCACTTGGTCTTTGAAGACTTAAATCTTGTTCTAATGTTATGACAAAAAAATAGTTTCCTTTAGAATAGACTTTAGAAAGTAAATTGTTGGAATAAATCAAAACGTCACTTTCATCAAACCTTCTGCTACAATGGTAGTGTGATAACATGGGAAACAGTGAGCACACATAAACTTCTTTCGTACACTGTGTTTTTCATAAATAATGGGAAAGGTGTTGTACTGTTGTACTTGTTTGCTTCTAGCATAAGTTTTTGACCTTTTCTTCTTTTTGAGATACTTCTGATTCTGAAGTAGCAAGAGACCGTAGAAGAGATCATGTATTTGTTCTTCAATCTTATGATGGAATGATTATGATATAAATAGATGAATATTTCTGCAGATATTTCTTTGTTGTGTTCCCAAAGGTATCAGAGTCTTCAGAACCAGAACCTAGTCTTCAGATGTGTAGCAACAACTTATCTGAAAAATAGTTTCTTGATATCTGAGCATTGAAGCAAAAGCTTTATCTGAGAAGCACTTCATCTTGTTTTTTTAATCATTGAAGCAAAAGCTTTATCTGATCTTCACTGTAGATCTTTTCTGGACACACTAGACTTCTGAAGTAACAACTTATCTGGAGAAGTACACGTGATTCGTTTTTGGAGAACATTTAATATTCATCAGAATTGCTAATGTATCTTCAGAACTTTAAATGATAGTCTTTATGATGCGATCTAAACACATATCTGATGATTCTTGAGACAAATATATTGAATCAACTTAAATGTTTTATATGCACACTTAAAGAACTAGTAGAAACCAAAATTGTTACATATAAAATATATGTATTGTTATCATCAAAACTAAGAGATTACATGCAAAACCAAATCTTATTCTTACAAATCACCCATTCAACAAGTCCACACACCATACAATCCAATATAGTAATACATTACACAAGCACACTCCATGTCATCCAAACATTATAATAAATTATATATGAAATGCAAAGAGACTCAACTCCATGACTCAATGCATGTGGAACTAATCATGAACTCTCAAGTTCATCTCGCCCCCGATCCCCACCATAGGATCAGAGCACACAAAAAATTGTTACCATCTCCATAGGTAACACTTCACCGATTCTTGTCTGGAACCAGCTACGTGCACCCAATCCCCATCATAGGATTGAGACTCACCAAAAAAGAACCACCGTCCAAACACTATTCATGTTTCATCAATGACATGCAACAACAACAAATATGTACAATGATATTCACCTTAATCAATGTACTATACCAACACCACCCACCAAACACAAAAACAAAGGTTACATGCATTCAACATTAGCATTATAACAACATATCACATATCATAATAGAATTCATACACCAACATCACACCACAACATACAACTACACACCATACAACTACACACCATACAACACCATTACACATTATTTAAATCATTTCCATAAATTGAAACTATTTTCAAATGAAAGTACATCATTTCAGCTTCCTAACACTTCAAACGGAACCTCAATCGGACACCTGAAGCTCAAGTTATGAATTTATTTATTTTTCAGCACACGATAGTGGTAACCGGTTACACCAAAATATGTAACCGGTTGCGCCAAGCCCAGAACAGTAGGTACGCAAGTCTTTCAGTGGTAACCGGTTACACTAAAATGGTAACCAATCACACCCCCTCCAAAAAATACTAGTTCACGCTTTTGTTTAACAGTGTAACCAGTTACACCAAAACACGTAACCGATTATGCCCACGAAATTTTCATTTTTACAAAAGCTATCTCAGGTGTAACCAGTTACATCCGTAACCGGTTACCATAGCTACAAAAACAATTTTATGTAATTTCAGTTGTACGAAAACAATCTCAAACACATTCAAAAACCCAATTTTTTTGAAAGATATCATGTACCCAAGCTCTACATTATGATTCACAACAACACACAACATTCACATCATTCAACAACACCCAATTCATCCAAACATACCATACAGTCACATCATTATACACCAAATTGTTCAACACATAGAGAATATAAAATAATCTTAAAGAGACTAAGTACCCACCCATATGTTATCGTATAATCCCTTAAATAAGAGGAAATCTCACCCTTACATTAGATTGAAGAAACTCAAGCTTCTCTAATGGAATCTTTCTACTTCCCTTAAGCCATAGCTCTATTCCTCTTCTCTTCTCTTTTTCCTCTTTTACGCGTTCTGTCGACCTTTCTCTCTATTTCCCTCTTTTCTTATTATAATAACATTCTTATTAATTATCCCAACTAATTAAATTAAAAAATATTCCAACTAAATATTTATTTAAATAATATTATCCTTACCATTATTTAAAATAAATAAAATAATTTTAATTAATTATTACTAATTAGTTTTACTTCTACCCCCCCTAATCTCTACATTATTACCCAAACACCCCTAAC